TAACCCTTTGTCCTACAATATCGCGTTAGACTCACGTCGAAGATCTCAAATAGAATTCAGCAAACGTGAATGAATTCTTCCAAATCAAATACTACTTTCCTATCCTCTGTGTCATCGTTCTAGGGTAAACGTAGACAATGATCGTAGAACAGTTTTCTCCTCTAATAAATTATAAACAATAAAGTCGTTCCATCGAATGCGATTTCCACCGATTCTGTTATGGAAATCAATGTTTTGTTATGGTATTGCGTACTTTTTCAATGATGACGTTCTTTTTTTTTAGAAAGTGGGTTTTCGTTTGACAGTTAATTAGGTGGCTTTTTTAAATTGTGAATATGGTAACTTCTACAAAGGGGATTGAAGCATTTAAGAAGATTGAAGGAATTTGGGGTCATCTTTAACCCCTTGCTCTACAATATCGTGTCAAACTCGTAGTGAAGAATTCAAATAAAATTTAACAAACATAAATATTATTCAATTTATTCAACCAATCACTCTTACCAATGATTATACCTTAGATCATAGGTTGTCATAGAATAATACTGACATTTTCTCTTATTTTCAATAAATTATTAATAACGAAGTAGATCGATTACAGTTCAGAAAGAAATCATAGAGGGTAAGAAGCTGTAGAGAGATACTCGTATAATTTTGATAGTTACACTGAATTTTCAAATTTTAACTTGACTTCCTAAAGAATCCCCAACGCAAAGGGGTTAACCGGGACACCCGTTACATGGGTGCCCAAAGTCGCATCCACTCCGGTGGTATAGGTGTGTTTACGTAGGTACACACTATTGCACTTTGTCGTGTTACGTCGTATACTGCATCGTTCGCCGACAATCGCCGTCCCCGAACGAGGAATGCGCGACGCCGGCGTCGTCCTTGTCGCTATCTGGTAATCCCCGCCGCCCGGTTTTCAACGACCTCCATCCCTTTGAGCTTCTCATCGCGCGGCTCTCACGTTTCGGCCGCATCCGGCTGGCTGTGGGGTCGTCAGGGACGGGGGACGCGGCAGCGGCACCTCCGCGCGCACGCTGGCCCCCCCGAAACGCGTTTTCTCGGTTTTCTCTAATTGAACGGTGCGCCGAGGATTTAACCTCTCGCGACGACGTGCCTTGTTTGCCTCCCACCGTGCGACCCGACGCCAGCAGACACTCCGTGCGCGCTCAAATTTCTGCTCCCGACCAGAGTCACTCATGATCCTCGGTCGCGCAACCCCCGCGCAAATTAACAGGGAGATGCGACGAGCGGTTTCCATCGCTGGAAATGAATTCCGGCGAAGTCGCAGGAAAGCTGCGTCCGTTTGTGCTGATAAAAAAGCTTCGAACGCGATGCGTTGAGTCCTGTTTGCTCGGAGGCGGATAGTGGGTCGGTATACTTGATGCGATTTCAACGATTTCTGGGTTTGTGGAAACCAATGGTTTGGTATGATGCGTACATTTTTAATGATGACTACTTGAATTTTGTAGAAAGTGGGTTTTCGCTTGATAGCTGTGTTAAATATTTATTTGCAAAAATAAACAGAACACAGTTTGAAAACTTAGTGTATTTATTAATATGCATTACGGTGATTTACTAAAACTGAAAACGAAACGCTGTTCGATGTTTGAGCGTTTGCTACGAACTGCGCGTGCAATAAAAATGGCTGTCCTTTTCAGGAAAAACAACTGACTCCTGCGAGGGAAAGGACTGCACCAACGGATGCTTTCTAGCCATTAAAAATATATTTAATGCTCATTCTCAACAAGTTAATTAGGTGGCTTCTTTTGATTATGATTGTGGTGACTTGTGCAACGCGAGTTCAAGCATTTGAGAAGATTGAAGGAATTTAAAGAGACGGGTTGAATCTTTTTGTAATTTTGAGGGTTACTTGAATTTTAAAATTTTAGTTTGAATTCTTTATGTCGTTATTGATCTTCTATCGAGCTTGCAGAATGTAAGTCTGAATTGGTAATTTGATTTACGTTATTTGTAATTTCCCCTGTATTCGCAGTTTGTCGTTCCGGAATTTCATTGCTCATTTTTCGCGGACGCATTTACCTGAAACACACATCTTACCTAATTGGCACTCGCGAGATTATATTATCTTAAGAGCAGTAAATAACCCGCGATAAGAGATCGAGAAGCACCTACCAGTTAACCTGAAGAGCTTTCCAGAGAAGAATAATCACGATCCTTAATTATCATGTCTAACTGCTGAGCATGAGGTTTCCTTATCGTGATGTTGGTTTCTCCAATTTCTTCGAAATTATCTGTGATCGTAATTATCTACGAATACTTCAGTTTTGTTTCTGTTATTTTTATTAGTCTTCGATATGGCAAATTGAATAGATATTACTTTTACAATTCACATCTTTTTTTCATAAGGGAATAATATAAATAATAATAATAATAAAATCGATGAATACACGCGAGAAAGATACTTTTCTTTTCATTAAGGGCGACAAAAGGAAACGATCAATGTTACAATGGAAGATTTACCGTGAATCCGAGTGATAGTAATCTTCCAAGCTTTCACCCCATCAGATTACATTCGAAAATGTATTTCGGCTGCTCGAGGAGCGAAATTTATTTATCGGCCACCCACTGATCCCCCTTCCGGGAGGAAGATAAGCATCGAATCTGCAAAACCATTAATCATTGGATACTTATCCTTATTTTCTTTAGACTTCCTTAATGGTGGGGAGAATTGCATAATTTTTCAACCGTGAACATTTGTGCGCCAGACCTTCCGACCTATCTACGCGCACGCGTTTATTCCGCTTGACATGAATTTGACAAATTATTTAACGCGGCAAATATACGGGTCGACACGGATTTTTCTATGTTTTCAAAGGAACGAGAGTTACATTCATTCTCCTTGTCAAATTAGAGACTCCTCTTACATTTTGCTCAAGAGTAGAATAATCAGTATGATTTACACACAAACATTTATACAAGATACTTGTTTCTTCGATTCTTTGTAAAACATGTAATGAAATTTATTAAAATATACAATGTTTTTAATTATGTCGTTTATTCTTTCTCTGGTGTAACTTCAAGTGCTATTGTCTAGTAAATTATTGAATTTTTGTAATAAATACGTTTAAATATTATAGGTTTCTTCAAGTATTCTGCAATTTGCATTATTCAGTTTATTTAAGTTACAAATTTACGACTCTGTTACCTCTGTTATAGTCATCCAAATAACAGTTGCAAAGAATAGAATGAAACTCAACACGAGCCACGTTTATTCTAAAGGATGACATTTCTAGGCAACGAGACGGGGGCACTCTTTTCAAGGGTTTCGAGGGGATTCTTTCGATTGTCAATGAAATCAAAACTCCCCAATCTAATTTCATGACTCACAGGCTCGTTTCTAGGAAAACTGGTTCAAGCAATTTATGTTAGGTTTCTTTACATTTGTGGGTATTCACGGTAGTTCCGGTTCTTCATTTGTAAACTGAACTTTTCCAATACCTCGGTTCCGGCCTATCTTAATTTATGTAGCATCATTAAGTTCACGAAATTAGTTTTAATCCGACATCGTACTGTACTCTATTACGCGTTACTTAAATTTCCGAAAAAAATATTTCTGTAGCAGAATTTCAAATAAAACTGTCAGCATTTTCGGTGGACGAGCAAATTTCGTCTAAAAACGTGTACAAAAAAACAGTTCACAGAAGCATGAAAGCTCGCTAATGGAATAAATCTTCCCTGACAAAGAACACAAAGATGAAAAGTTGACATCGTTGCCTTCCTTTTTCAATATTCTTGAATTTCAAACGAGTGGTTGCATTGTACTAGAAATTAATTCATTTATTCCCACTCATATTTTGATAATACAAATAACTAGTTCCGAAAAGAATAACAACTACTTCAAATTTATTTTATATTCTCATTACTCGAAACACTTATATAACAACACAGAATATAGAACAAAGAAACGTTTAAAAGGATTTCAATATGCTGTTGCTTTATTCGCAACTCATTATGATTCTCAAGAGAACAACCTTAATCCTCGTCGCTTCACGTCGCTGTAACAAATTTTTATTTACCACGAAGATCCTCTATATGTTGATTACATCGTTCCGCCATTCTCAAACCTTTATTCATCAGTTCACGGGGCGCTGCTCCTCACCGTGGGCTCGTCTTATCTTTCAATACACGGTCCACGTCACCGCGCCTCAACCCTTACACGCAATAAATAATTTATAAGCCGGGTAATCGTATCTGGCGACCTAGAAGCCCGGCCCGGGGCTAACGTGGAAAAACTACGGCGGAAGAGAGGGCGCGAGTATCGGGAAAGTCGTTAGTATTTTTCCTCGTCGGAAAGTTTTAAGTAAATCTTAGCCGATCCACTTGCGATTCAGCCGGGCCGTGGTGCTGCTCAACCGAATAACTTACTTTCGACGCCATCACCGGTTCTTAGAACGATAATGATCCATTAAGAAACTCGGAACTCGGTGCATTCCAGCGAATACTACCCCGGGGCTAGCTTAGCGCGGCTTCTCGCGGGATAGAGGGAAGAGGCGAGCTGGGAGCAGAGAGTGGGAGAGAGAACCGGGGAAAAAACGAAAAACGTTAATCGGAAGAACACGGCACCGGAAATGGTGAAGTCTTTCGACTTTTCATCGAACTGGAAGGAGTCGCCTTTGTGCTTAACGGAGGGTGCCGGCGTGCGGTAGCGAAAGACGATAGGAAAGGGATGAAGTAGGGTGAGCGAGACGAAGGGTTCGCTTCCCGATTCCAGATGAACGGATTTCGTTAAAAGCAGATTTACATTTCCTCGGCTGCTTCCTCTCTCCCTCTCTCTCTATCTCTATCTCTATCTCTATTCCTCTGAATCCCTTCTCTTTCCTGCGAACGTCCTCGAACTATTCGTGCACTCAGCTCTCGCGCGACTGAATTCTCGCATCCCCAACCCCCTGGACCGAACTAACCCCCCGGGGTGGTCGGCCCCCTATGCGAGAGACCGCCTGAAATTTCTCGATGAATTCACGCTTGATTTCCTGTAGGTGGATTCCAACACAAAACATCAGCCGCGGCAGTATCCGCCGCAGAAGTGGGATCAGAACGATGGCGGCGGGTCCCCCCACGTCGATCAGCAGGAGGATCTTCAGTGGATCGAGATCAGGTTGAACCTTCAGCCGTCCCATTACTCGAACGGGCAGTTGAGTCTGCGATGCAACGCCCAGATTCCCGGCATATATTCGGCGGTAAACGAGGTGCAGCTCGGACCCGGACTGCGTGAACCCGTGCCAGAGAGAGGTAACAGGAATTTTATGCTGAGCTTGAATAAAGCTGCCGCGTGTATAGAGTGTTTCCGAAATCCCGGTAAATGAAACCAGAAAATAATTTATGATGGGAAGTGAGCGTGGAATGTCGGATAAAATGTTCTTGTTGGAGAACATTCGTTCGACAAATCGGTTAACCGCTTAGAATCAAAAGTAGAGTAACCTGAGTTGATTATGTGTGTAATGGATTATTTAATTCTTCTTGTTTTCAAAGTTGAACGAATTTTACTCGTTCTATATTTTCTACTTGCATAGTTCTTCGTTTGGAAGAATTCTTAGTCGCCATTTTACCACTACTTCGGAAACACTCCGTGTACGCGGCAAATGGGAGGACGTGCATGCGGTTCAAACTTATACCGTATTTAGAGTGTAATGACGCAAGCTCCTAAGGCGAATACTGAATCATTTATGAAAGAAACCGATCGGATTAGAAGGGTTAAGTGTTCAGAGCCAATGGGGTTCTTTCCGTGGTTTTGTTCGGGGATCGTGAGTTCGTAGAGTGGAAAAGAGTGTTTGTGCATCAACGAGCAATAATAACGTGCGCGTGTTGTCTTTATTTAGCGGGATTATTGTCAAACAATCGCGGCATATATTTACGGAGGAAACAATCCTCACGGTGGAATAATTCTCAATGACTCTGGTTATTTCTAGTTTATTTTAGTATCGCATATTTACACCTTCTACAAACTTCCGAGAGAACCACGTGAATCGACATCGTTTCCGGATTTATTCATCGAACAAATTCAACCGCTAAATCAAGATTAATCAATCACCGATCGACGTGTATCTTTCCCCATATAAAAATCACAGAAACCCCTGGATACACAAAAGTATGAGTAACAATACGCGAAAAATCTACAAAACAAAAGCAGAGTAACTAAAATCCCCGGGAACGCATCGTGAGAAATGGAAAAGGGTACCGAACGAGATAGTGGGAAATCCAGCGTTCCATCGATCGCGCTAAAAGCGCTGCTCATCGCATCATTTCGGAATACCCGCGGATATTATCGGTAACCGAAAGGAAAAAGGGCAAGGGAAGCTGAAAAAACGATGGACTCGTGACGTGTATGTGACATAGAAAAATCCGGGGACGAAAACCGCGACGCATCGGCTTCCATAAATCAAAAATTCCAAGTTCTCCGGCCGTTATCGGGGCCGCTTGTATTTGTTGCCCGCGGGCCATCGCCGATATAATTCTGTCCGCATAAATTCGAAAAATTCGTTCGGCGTTTTGTTTCGACACGGTGCGGGCCGCGGTTGCCGACGCACCTGCCTCTACGCCCGGCGAGACCCGGTTGCGGCCAGTTGGTGTACGCTGCGGGTAATACTTGCACGCTTCGGCTGCCTAGCTGGGAATTAGCCGGTCGGTCGCACAGGCTAATAAATTTCGAGAGTTAGGGGTCCCACCCACTCGAATTCGGAAAGGAAGCCTCCGGTGCACGCTGCGCTCGCTTCCTGCACGCGACGTCGACGAGATTTAATTGACCGGCCACGGGTAGAGCCTCGGCCCCTATTACCTTCCGCCAACCGAACCACCACATTGAACCCTCGTGCACCCCTCTCGGCCAGAGGTGTGCGAGAACCCGAAAATATCGGGTCGAGTCGGGCAGAGAAATTTTGTTCGGGATTGAGAGTGGTTCGTGAAGATGCTCGAGATTTCCGAAAATTCTGATTTCGAAACCTGCTTCGATGAGTGCGACTATGCTCTTGAATTTTGGATTCTTTTAGAGGTTTCTGACTAATCATTACATTGTGAGATTTGGCTACGATTAGGAACTTCTGGAGTTCTCAAATATTTTCGGTGGTATACGAAGAACTAGGTCAGAAAGGAAGAATGAAATTTGTTTGCTGATACTAAAAATAGTAGACGGGTAAAAATGACCGATTATTGATAACTGCAATTATTAAAAAGATGACGGATGTTTCGAAAAATGATTGAAAATATTAATTTAGCAAACTAAATTGTACATCAATTTAAGTCTCAATAGATGCACTCTTGGAGTTTTTATAGAGTTTCTAAAAGTCGATTTAACTACTCGGTAGTTTTAGCGTTAAGACTTTATTTTCGAAAGAATCCAGTTTGAAGATTTTTGTGGTAGGTGTACTTGAACATGGCTAATTTTCAAGTGGACGAGTGCGTGTAAGAGAGTGGCTACATGAAAAACTAGATTAGAAAGAAATGTTGAACATTGGTTCTTTTTAAATGAAGTCTATAAATGGAAAAATTGTGTATTCTTCCTTTTCGACTGAGATATTCAAGCTGAATCGGCTTGTTTTCGTTAGTAAGGCCACATCGGAAACACTCTGCATACATGAGTATCTCGTTGGAATTTCCGTTGCGACAAACTTGACATCTTATGACGACGCATAGCTGCGTCGCGTGATACGGGTGGCACGGTTAGTTTTCGACGCGAGTAGCAACCGACGAACTACCTGTCGCGTAATTAATAACAGCGGAATAATCCATATCCTTGCGGTGGGAAATTACTAGATTTCACGAAGAATTTCGGAATCCTGGAATATTTGCAATACTAAAGGCGTAGCATTAGGTCGGATTAGACTCACGCGACCTCAACCCACGCTGATTACCCTATTGAATTATTCGGATTATCTGAATTTTTCTGTTCGGTCGAAACTTGTTAGTAATAGTATTATTATTGGATTAATTAGTTGAAATTTGTGATATTTTTGTAATTATGTGATAAGTATACACATACTTTTTATTGTTCAATGGATCGTATACTTCTTGACTTTTTTCTTTAAGGTACTGAAACTATGGGTTTGTTTAATTTATAAAGAAATTTATGTTGAATTCAAGTTTGTTGAGAGTTCTATTTCGTTATAAGTATTATACGCGTGCATGGAAATCCGTCGTTTGTATATAAAGAGAAAATAATGATATCAGCTTAATAGGAATACGATTTTCGTAAGATCGATGTAATCGTTCAACTTGATCGAGCGCATAACAATATAATACTCTACTCGAAGGGTAATGAATTATATCGTATCACTGACTAGTTACAGTGCAGCGAACAGCAAATAAGAACCGTGAAATTTCATCAAGTTTTTATCGACGAGCCACATCGCGTGATTAAATTGAATTCTGGCGTGTGAAAGTGGAATATGATGGATAGCGTTCAACGGACAGCTCTTCTCCCCTCATTTTAAAACGCGAAGAATTCACCAACCCCTTATGAGGAAATAATTTCGCACTCCTCATACATTAATATCCGTGACACTAGAATTAGATCGCGTTTCCACGCATTCGTTTAAACTTCTGGAACTGATCCGTCTGAAAGAAATTTATTACATTCCGTACGATTAGTGTCATGAAATGGTGTAATTCGTTTTATGTGTGAATTCATATTTTAAAAGTAGAAATGGCAAATTATGCACAGATACAGTAAGAGATTCAACGTGAACAAATTTCACTTTTTCGGAAACGAACTTTAATAGAGAATACTTGAAAGCTTAAAAATTTGAAAATTTAATAGTTCGAATATTTAAAAATATGAAATTTCTAATATTTGACAATTTTAACATTCAGACATTCGAAAATCCGTCCGATATATCACTGTAGAACACCAACAAGCTCGATTAATAGACTTTCGATGTATAAAACGTTAAACGAATAAATTATTCCTTGCGGTGCTTTGCTGGCATTACTGTTTCACGTGCAATTGCATTAAACTTCCCGAAATAACCCGTCCGTTTCAATTGGAAATGCAGAGACCAATATGGTGTATCTTAGAGAAGCCGGTGTATACCCTCGACTCGCTCCCTCGCCGCGTTTCCCCTGGAGGAGGGAGTAATAGGTCTATCCTCCTCCAAGACGCAATTGACGCCTGAATAGAATTCCGCGGGGTCTTTGTTTTTCCCCCAAGACGCATAGTTCCGACCAATGGCAATCTACACCTCAAATAAGCCATGTGAACATCGTGTCCCAGCCCGCGCGCGGTTCCATTGTCTCAACAATGCCGGGACCCAAACATGTGTTTATACATTCCGGCCGCTTGATACCGACAGAGATCATACCTCTGTCAAGCCTATCGGAACCAGTGGGTCCGTTCAATTGATTGGACATATTATGCACACAGGATGTGTTAGATGTTAACTTTAGTTACGTTTGGATTTGATGTAGCGTGTTATTCGGGTACGGATTCGTTCGATCTATTATGCATGCTAGTAACAGCTTAGTAATTATATGTTGTTGACAGTTTATTGATGTACTACTCGCCGTGTGTATTCTCCGGGATAATTTTGTTTGTGGCTATTATCGCGTTGCGCTATTACCGATGTTCGCGGTTCTTATTCTTGAAATGGTATTTAATCGTATTTTTACATGTAATTTACTTTTAATCTTTGGAAAGTAGATTCGTTTTTTATTTATATTAAAATTAAACCGTTGTAGTTTGAAAAAAAAAATGGAAATTGATCATTGAACATGGAAAATGCAGATTGTTCGCGAAACACTGTGAAATAGAGAATAAAATTTTGATAATTTTTGAGATTATCGAGCTTTACCTTGCGTGTGCAGCTTTAATCCATTGACTGGTGTACAATTGTGTTGTTCCGGGATAGACAATCAGGTATGCAGCGGTAAACCAGAGTTATTCGGGATAGGCAATCAACTATGCAGTGGTAAACCGAGATATCTCACGTGATACGAAGGGAAAGTACAAATGTGGGTCAATAGTAGGAGAATACCACGTTATTGTGTCTGGTTTAATACTGAAAACCTGGCGCTGTTTGTACGCTGGTGCAGGGAACATTTTAATGGCGGTATGATTTCGCGTGAAGCAAAGAACTCGGGAAAGTTTCAATGAAAGAATGCACGGTGCGTTCTCAAATGAAACAATCAAATTTCATTGCGCTTTGTGCTTCGAAACAGAAAGGACCGAGTTGTACAAACACCGATCTAAAAAGGAATGAAAGCATTGTAAAAGTTGATTACGCGCATTCATTTCCTTTAAA